AAGCCAGTGTATCCGGCCACCTGATTGCGGGTCATCGGGATCTCTTCGCGGGTGCAAAGTGGGAACCCAGCCCCTTTTGTTCGCTTCAGGCGGGACCAGACTGATAGGTAATGCCTCTTTGGACACCGATCCTCTCTGCTAGATGCAGAAGATGCGTCGGGCTGTGACTGATCAAGCGTTGCTGACAAGTTTGACGCACCATTTGCCACTATCGATGTTCGGTGCTTTGAATGTTTGTCGACTGACTTTTTTCAATGAAAAGGGTATTGGTCGTAGGGTTGGCCCCCTCTTGGTTGTGCAAACATCCAGATCATTTATACCACATCCCTTCTTTCGTAGCCTTACCGTCACTTTGTGGGGTTGCTACATATATCTCCTTTGAGACGCGTTGCTCGTAGCATCGACCGATCCAGCGGAGAACGCCCCGACGTTCCTTTGCGCCGTCAGACGGTCGGAACGTTTCAGGTCTCCGCACCAAGAGTAGGACGATGCCAAAGGTCTGAGCCTCGGAAGGAGGCACCAACGAACGGTCTTCCGGTCGACGAAGAACGAACGAACAGTGAAAAAGGTCCGAAATGGGCGTCTGTGGGTGGTGACCGGATGCGAGGCAGGCGAGATCAGGTGGTGAGGTGAGTGTGAGGTGAGTTATGAAGGCTGATGGAGCATGATGAAGCCATACCTGACCCAACTTGGCTACACTTTTTAGACTCTGCCAAGTCTGTCTTCAGGAAGCTTTCAACTTTCGATCATTTGCATGCGTTTGCGCTCAACTCAGAAGAAGCAGTGAAAAGTATCTTGATGCCTTTGAATGCTGTTCATTCGTTCGCTGGGAAGCCCAACCACCTCACCCGGACTCGGCAAAGTGACCACTTGCAGGTCTTGGAACAAGGCCTGGAAGAGGTTTGGACCTGATCACACGGGCTGCCTGGGCCATCGAGAGGCCTCTGCAATGCAAGCCAAGAGTTCTCATTAAGATCAACATGAACTAACTAACCTGTTCACCTACCATAAATTCAAATAAATTCTATCCATCGACCAACGCCCTTTTCAGTGCTGCTCTGTTCGCGCCTGTCTTTTTCTCCTTTTCCTTGTCCGACTCCTCTATCCTCGGTCAGGTTCGCCAAGCCGAAAAAGACTGGTCAGTTCAAGTCTCACATCTGGGTGTCAGACTGCAACTCTGGCACATCCTTTTCCGTACCAGCAAAGGCATCCTCAGGATCCATTTGACTTTCTCAAATGAGCACGGAGTTCATGTGATTTCATGAAATTTAACTAGATTTCATTTGGAAGCTGTCCAAATTCCTTTTCCCGAAAACTATCCGTGCGCCGGCCTTGGGCAACTTTTGCGCGGTTCTTGAGCGGACATAGTCAAATCACATGTTCTGTTCAACTGTGTGCGTGTGTGTGTGTGTGTGTCACCCCCTGTTCCGAAGGGACCACCGAGTTTCGAGTCACAAAGGACGCTACTAAGGCCCCCCGGCTTCGCTACTAAGGGCTCCTGGTATCGCTATTAGCGCGCAGCTTGTCAATTGTTTAACATGTTCAAAGCGCACAAAAAGAAGCAGGGGGCCACTCCACCCACCACCAGGGAGTGGCCAACGAAGAGCCTGGTGGTGTGGTGCTGAAAACGTACCTGCTTTTTTTCCAATTTTAATTTTTAAGTGCGTTTGGAAAACCATGTTCAACCGTACTGTTTCAGCTGACTTTTCCACCTTGCGGTTCTTCGCCATCCTTCCCATCGTGGTAACTGAGTTAACTGAATACAATTGTCAGAGTGTGTTTCGCTCAGCCGTCCCACTCGGGTGCTGAGTGTGATCCCCGTCACTGGGGCGCCGTTTTTGCATAGGAAATCATCTGCCCCAACTTGCCACGTTTCACCGGATTTCCACTGGAAGTCATTGACACATCCATAGAATCAACTGATGCATTGGCCGCCGGGCCTAAAAACGGAATTTGAAAGCAACAAAAGCCGGCGACCTGTCTATGTGTGTCCACCCCTGGACAAAGGGTTCTAAAGCACTAACGGTTTCAGCCACCTTTCACCGGAATCCCACTGGAAGTCACTTACACATCCACCGAATCAATGGCCGCCGGGCCTCACCACGGTACTCCTTCAGTCTACAGTGATTGCATTCTTTCGGCATGATCTTCATGTTGCTGCTAAGTATTCGCATGTCCATGTCATGCTGCTAAGTATTCACAGGCCGGACAAATTAATCAGTGCACCCCCTCCCTGCCCCTGGGCCTCTGTTGCTATCCCACCCGCAATCGAGCAACAGAAGGAAATCGCACTCAACACACTTGTGTGTTGGTGCCTTTCCTTCTGTTTCTCCTATCTATTGCTAGCTACCCGAGCGGTCTAAGACCAGAGTCCCGCTCGCGAACTACTTTCATTTAACTAAGTTGGCCTCGTCACTATACCTATCTTTCCTTCTTGCCCTCTTAGTCTGCTCTTGTTTTGTTCTCTTTGTCTGTCGTTCTAAGGCTTTTTAGGTGACTAGTAGTTTTCCGGAACGCCAATATTGGCGTTATGTGTACAAAGTTGTTGCCAGCAGATCGCTACTAGGAGCAAAGACGGTACTACTATAGGGGCCTCTGACCGTTTTTTGCAAAGAAAACGGCGCCGACTACGGCAATTTGTGTGTGTCACCCCCTGTTCCGAAGGGACCACCGAGTTTCGAGTCACAAAGGACGCTACTAAGGCCCCCCGGCTTCGCTACTAAGGGCTCCTGGTATCGCTATTAGCGCGCAGCTTGTCAATTGTTTAACATGTTCAAAGCGCACAAAAAGAAGCAGGGGGCCACTCCACCCACCACCAGGGAGTGGTCAACGAAGAGCCTGGTGGTGTGGTGCTGAAAACGTACCTGCGTTTTTTCCAATTTTAATTTTTAAGTGCGTTTGGAAAACCATGTTCAACCATACTGTTTCAGCTGACTTTTCCACCTTGCGGTTCTTCGCCATCCTTCACATCGTGGTAACTGAGTTAACTGAATACAATTGTCAGAGTGTGTGTGTGTGTGAGTTTGTTTGATTTTTCGTGTCTGTGTTTGTTTATTGCCGCTTCCTTTCTTTTCTTCCAAGCACTATCCATCAGCAAAATCCTCTGAACTTGATGTGGGAAATTGTGGTATGCGGGCCCACTTCTGCCTTCGCCAAAGCAGTTTGCTTGCTTGCTTCCTAGCAGATTCTAGCCGCCCTTTGGGCAGTTCCGTCCCTAAATTTGGCATGGGCATCTTCCTCTGTTTGTGCTCCTATGAGGCGTCCAATGAGAAAGCATCTGTTTCGCCCTTATGGTCGGCGTCCTGTCCCAGTGAGTGTTGCAAAACAACCTCTTCTCCAAGCTGCGTCTTCAATTTTGGACAATTCCTCTTCGGGATATGTTTTGGCGCCGGCCTTGCGCGAACCTTGCGCGATGCAGGTGTTAGACCACCGTACGATCAATGAAAAACATCGTGCTACTAAATTCAGTTAAGTTATGTGGGTTAAGGTTTTTTGGACGACTCGTTTTGTTGTTTGACCGTGTCTTGCACACCAATTGCACATCTGCTTCAGCACGTCTCGCTGGCCGATCCAGCTTGATCCGGGCTTGGCACGGCCACTGGGGCATCCTCGTCAGCTGCCTCTGCGCGACGTCAGACGGTGCCCTGTTGGGTCCGCTGTAGGCCCCTCCGGTCGACCGGAAAGCGCTTCCCTCTGGGAAGGAGAATAGTGTCATCACTAGGACCCACTTGAAGTGGGTGGGACTGGCTCCCCATTGGAGGGTTCTCAGCACTTAGGTTCCAACATGTTCCAACCTGAAAAATTCCCTTTTCTGTACGAATCATCCTACTCTTTTTCCCCTGCTCAATGGCTTGAGGTTGTGAAAAAATGTGTTCTTTGCAGAGCAAAACGACAAAGCCCTCATTGGCGTTCCATCGCTTTGCCAAGGCTGTGCCTCTTTGGCATCTGTCGTGGTCACCTCACCAGAGACAGCTGCCTCATTGGGAGAACTCAGAGAATTGGACCCGCTCTCCCTTCAAAGCTTCCCGTCCCTTTGTGTGATCAACGCTGCGTTTTCATTTTCCATGCCTCAATGAAGGAGGCAATACAAGTCAACACCAGAGAGCAGCTCCAAAAAACAATTTAAAACATCCACTTTGATGCCACTTGAGAAAGATGTCTTGCCTTGACAGCAGCTGCCGGTTGTTCTGCCTGGCGAAACCCTGGTTGTTTTGTCATTATGCGTTTATCGCTGAAGCTCTCAGAAGGACCACGCAAACTGCTCCGAGAAACTCAAAAATATGCAGGACTACAAGGCCTCTGCCAAGTCTAGTTTGCCTGTTGCAGGCCTCAGAGCATGTCCCCTGAGTCCATTTGCTCTTGGCGACACTCAGCCATTTGGGACTTCCAAACATCAGCTTTTGCTCTAACACTCCTGAGAATCGCTTGGAAAATGGAAGGGTTGGAGGGCAAGTCCACAACTCTACCCTTGTTTTGTCAGAGTTCTTGAGAAAACAAGAGTTCTTGCACTGCCTGCCATTCAATTCCAGTCCGGAATGGCCTAAGAAACCACCTACAAAGCAAGTCCATCGAACAGGGTGATTGTTCTTCATGAATGAATCTGCAGAGTTTACAAAAAGGTACAACAAAGGTGCAATGTAGTGATATATGATATATAGAACAACTTCTTGCCTGTTTTGCCACTAGAAGTTGAGATAAGGCCATTTGGCGATGGCTTAAAAATAAGACTCTATCTCGTATCCAACGCTTTTACACCCTATGTATTTATTGCCCATTGTCATTTCTATGACCCGAGCCCGAGCAGCTTTGGAAGCGACTGAGTGCTTGACCCAGGCACCACTTCAGGCTCCTTCTCCTGCCAAAGCAAGAAAATGCAAGAACTATCTGACTAAACAGCTTGGGTCCTGTTGTGTATTCGGAGACGTGAGTAAATAAGAAACAAAAGCCTTTGTGAACATCCTGGAAGCCTCGGGTTAATTCATCGTTGTGACCGGCAGCTCGTACAGGCGGTATGCCTTGAACTTGGTGTTCTCAGTCTGCCAACTACGCTTTTTCTGCTTCTCTCGCAAATGAGCGCGGCCAAAATTTTGGCTAGTCCGAAAATGGGTTCAGGCCTGGGCGAGGCGACAGAGCGAAGGTTGGTGTGCGGCGACAGGGCTGAACAAATGGTCCTCATGATTCCTCACGTAATTATGCTGCTTCATATTGGTGCCCAAGACTCAGCCCATCTAACATCAATACAAATCCAGTCTGATATTGGGCTGGCCTTTTTTGCCACGATGCTGAGAAGTGAGAACCACATCTTCGCGGAATTGGTGTCCAGATCTTGACAAAGGAGGAAACGCCAGGAACCAGAAAAAAAATAGAAAAACAAGTTTAGTTCCTCTTTCCTCACATGTTGATATCGTGATTTTTTTTCACTGGTGGAACTTCCACTTGCCTCCTTATATACCAACAAGATCCAACAAGAAAGCTGAGAAGAACTCCCAAGGACTTCCCACTTCCCAACGGGTCCCAACCCCATCTTAGGTCTGGGACGTCACTGGCAATGAACAAGAAAACCGTCTTACCTTCTTTGATGCTGTTTCTGACACAAAATCAAGTCTTAGTACTTGCTTACTTGCTTTGGACTGAAGTACCCTTTTTTGCAAGCAAAGGCCTAAAAAATGCTGGTTGGCCTTGGGTTTTCCGACGTCGCCACCCGTTTTACTGACAGCAACAAACACGCCAAAATTTTGGCCTGTGCACTTCCTGGGCGTTGACGGTTCTTGGATCTTTCGCCCACGTATATTTTCGTCCCGACAGAACACCGCGGTCCCAGCGGCTAGAGGCTACGTCTGACATCGCTGACGCCAAGCCCCCGGAAGCACTCTCTGTGTCTGGCTCAGTGGTGGTTTCTGCTTCCTGGAGCGATCTGGGAGAACATGGCACACCCTTGGAACCGGAAAGTATCAGCAACCGCCATAGCTGCAGTTTCAAGTTCTGCTTCTCCCGACGCTCACGTCCAGCGGATTGAAAGTGCAAATGCAACCATTGCTCATTGCTTACGAAAAGGCATCGCTGCTGTCCCCAAAAGCATTGCCATCTGTGGTGGTGAAGTTCCGGCCAAGTTGCAAACGGGTCCATGGTAAACGTTGTGCTGGTTGTGGTTGGGCACGTGGTGTGGCTACACACCTGGCTGCATAAAGCACGCGGCGGCACAGAAAGTGTTAAGGGCTGACACATGTGAGAATGAGTTGCTGCAGCTGCGAAAACAGGAAACACGAGAGGTCTTCGACAGAATCCAAACGTCTGCCGTCCGAAACTGTTTCGCTTTCGGGGGAAGTGGCAGTCTTTTCCATGGGCACAGATGATCACACATGTACGCGACGCGCTTCGCCCACTGATGTGTTCTTCACGCAGTTCGTAAATGCACGCCTGCGGCAGGTATGCCCTGCAAAAACGTCTGGGCCGGGCCTATCTCTCAATTCAGCTGGCAAAAATCTCATCAGCTGCTCATCCCCCCTTCATCACGCGTACATGTCTTTTTCCTTCCTGCTCCAGAAGTGTCCATGACTTGACTCGCCTCTGTTTGCGTCTTCATCCACCGCTACCTCAAAAGGAACTTCACAGCCTTCTTGAGCGCTTCTGGCGCGGTCGCGAGGCGATCAGCAACTCCTTGTTGCACTCTTCGGCACACAAACGAACTGCTCTTGTTCTCACGCGCAACAGCATCTATCCTTTCCAAGCAAAGGCCACGAGGCCACCTTCCCTAATATACTTGAACCTGGCTCATCCGAAGGAACAAAGCCCTTCCAGCGCACGGACGTCGGTGAAGCGCTTGAAATGAGCAGCTATGCGCTGCGTCGTGCTGCCCAACCATGAACCTTATGCTCTGGGTCAAAGAAGACCCCACCCTTCACCTCCAGACGCTATACGGAGGCGATTGCTTGGTTCCTCGAGTGTCTGGACGCAGCGCTGCTACGCAACTTTGAAGGCCTTGTTCATGTCCAACCCGGTTGGCGAGACAATTCTGGCTCGCGTCTCCTTTTCTGCTCTAGATCGCAAACCCAATACCCACACGTCCAACAAAGCTCACAATCGCATCCGCAACAGTCCACGTCGTCTCTTGCCTGGTTCAAGTGTCAACCAGGCAGCACCTCATTCCCGCATAGACAAGACTACCACTTCGGTGTGCGGCTAGAGTCTCCTTTGCCAGAAGAGGTTCGCCTTTATCTATTTGAATTCCAAACATGTCCAGCGTCCGACGGAATCCGACAGTTGACAGTTGACCAGGCCTGACTCTGTGACTTCCTGGGATGGAGATGTGACTTCATCTGACCCACAACGAAGGGAACGCGGGGGGGAACGAGATTTCCGAAAGCAGGTTTCGGTTGCCCTTCTTGCCAATCTCACTTCACACAAAGCATAGAAAGGTATTACACCCACAGACTTTACATGCCCTGAAGTTGAACCTTATTGGCCGAAGACATTCTTGGCGCTGCTCGCAGGCCCTTGTTCAGGGTCGCATGACCGATGCTTGCGAGCATCATCTTTGGTTCCTCACAGACGGCTTCCTGGCAAAGAGAGGTCGAAAAAACCCAAGCCCCTAGTAGCGCCCTTGCTCCTAGTAGTAATGTCAGGAGCCCCTAGTAGAGTCCTTGCTCCTATTAGCGATGCCAGGAGCCCCTTGTAGCATCAAAAAACAAAAAGTTGTTTCTTTGAGTCTCAGGAATCGAGGGATTCAACTGGAGACAGCAGAGATGATGGATTCCCTGCTTGTCACTTGACAGTCTGGCCTCTCCAATGGATTCTTGGCTTTTTTGTCGCGTCCGCATGCCATTTCCACAGGTCACGGTGCACTGAGTCCAGTCCTGCAGGTCGAGAAGCGCCAAACAAAAAACAGCCCATCTCCACTGGCCGCGCTTTAATGTCTTTACAGCCTGGCCATGCCTGGCCTAGCTGGCCTACCAATTGTCAATCTCAACGCGCTTTCTCCGTCTACCCAGACCGTTGGCTCTCGTGGGACCTTTGGTCACCGGACCTTTGTCACTGATACACATGTTGCCGCCGAATCCCAGTGGTGTCATCGTCATGTCCATCCGGAGTCCACTCCTGCCAATCGCCCCAAACACAGTCATTGTCTGGATCCCCCTGCATGGGAGAGCGTTTTAGCTCACTGCAGTGCTGAAGTGCACCTGACTCCTTTCAAAACCTAGTCAAGCTACGAGCTATCCAGTTTGAGAGTTTCGAGAACAAGAACACCGTTCCTCAACATGCGAAAAGGAGAAGGGGCCGCATCATGTTCAGGTTTCAAGCAAAGCCACAAAAATGAAGACAAACTCGCCTCCTCCAACGATGCTTGTCGGTTGGTTGCTTCTTGCCTCTCTGCCAGCGGAACAAAACAAAACCAATAAATTATCTCCCATACACTCACTTTGTTTGTTTGACCCGATGATTTGCTGACTGTTCTAGCTGTTCTTGACATGTCGGAGGAAAGTGCTGTGCCTCATGAGCGCCCGTGAATGTCCATGAGCATCAATCGCCTCAATGCTGTTGGGCAACTGAGATTTTTCGTCTGGTTCTGATGACTTTTGCTGTGCCTTATCTTCCAATAACTCAGTGCACGTGAAGAAGGAATAAGTTTAACTAATTAGCTAGAAGACCGGGTGCTGTATGTCACTGTCTCTGAGGTCTCAGCATAAGTGGCTGCTTCTGATGGCCTGCAGGGATGCTCAAGTTCAAAAGTCTGGGCCCTTGTTTTCTGGAATTCTTTGGCACTTTCCAGCGGTGTGAAAGGGAAACTCCGTCAAAAATTACACCTGAGAAGGGGGGGGACGAAAGCCAGCAGCCGCCAGGCGAGTGTCAGCGGTGCCGCGGATGCGGGGGGGCGTATGTCATGGTGATGGAGGGAGCAGAGAAGCAAGCCGGGCGGCTTTGGGGTAAGTTTGGTATGAAAGAAGTAGTGAAAGAGAAGTGCGATACGTTGTATGTTGGTGTAGGTCATCATCACAAGGCAACGGCATGTGTTTGTCACACGCAGGAAGGTCTGCATCTTATGGAAGTTGGAAGGCGACATCAGGGTTAGCGAAAGGGAAATACCGTCTGAGCCGTCTGAGTTCGAGTGGTGGGATACCACGCGCACGCGGCGCGCGCAGAAAGACCTTCTCCATAGTGAGCGTCGCCTCGCGCGCGCGCGCGAGAGTACGGCAGGCGTTTGAATAGAAGCAATTATGTGTTTGTTACATATGGAGTGTTTGAAGTTTGCAATGCACACGGCGGCACGTCGAAAAGCAGCGTTCGTTGATTTGGAAGAGTGAAGGGGCACGTCTTAGCCGGGACACGGACGTTTGATCCCGCGGCGCAGAAGGGGAGGTCCAGCGGGAGTAGCTTGGGCTAGCAAAGGATTTGTGCGCCTATCGATGCACATGCCTGGACTTGAGTGAGTTATGTTCTGGCTCAATCTAAAACACAATCTGTTTCCTCTAAAGGGGCCTTTATTAAACGATCCAAATGCCAAGCACCTTCTGTATTCTTCTCTTTCTTATCAACTTTTCGCCTTTCTCACTCAGAGGCCTTGACTTTGGCCCCTGTGTGTGTGTAGATCTTTGGGCCGTAGACCCAGGCTGACTGGATCGGCCAGGGCCGCCAGCAAAAAGGCGACGTCATGAGTCAGGAGTATATAGAATTTATCTATCTATATCTATATCTATCTATCGATCTATCTATCTATCGATATATCTATCTATCTCTCTATCTCTCTATCTCAATCTATCTCTATCTATCTATCTATCTACCTATGTATCTATCTATCTATCTATCTATCTGCACCAGCAAGCCGGAAAAGCGTTCGGTGCGTGTGGACGCCGCGAGAAGCGTCCACTCGACCGAGGACATGGTGCAAGTATAGGCTTTGCTAGGGAGCAAGAACCCTATGGGGATATGTAGTCAACCTTGCAGGCACCCCCACCGAAACCCAATCCAAATTCATGGACTTGAACTCACGTCACTTTCGGTTCTCTATGGATTTCGCGAGTTGCGGGTTGTCCTGGGCACTCGCATCCTACATGCGGCTACGGTCTGCTCTGTACGTGGGTCTCTGTCCCCATCTCGAGTGCTCAATGCCCATTGTCCACATAGCCTCCAAAGCCCTTCATGATGCTTATGGTGCACTACTCACCATCCATTGCATCACTCGCATCCCTAGAGACCATTTTAGCTGCTTTTCTGACCTTTGGAACGCTCTCCCCCACCAAGCTCCGGGCTCACCCTCTCAAAATGTCCCTCTCAACACCCTCACTTCGTTTTTTCGCTCTAAAAGCTCAAGCCTAGCCTATCGGCTGGCTTTCGTAATGTATATTATACATAGCTTTGACATTGACTACTGAAACTGCTTGAAACGGGCTGCTTGAAGCTGCCTGTCAAAGAAGCCAAGGAAGGTGAAGAAGCCAAGCCTCTGCACATAGGAGCAAGCAGCGCAAGCAACCCAGGCAGCCCCAAGAAACATGAAGGAACCGATGAAGCGTGGAGCTGAAAGGAATCGGTGGCAAAGTGCAGACTGGGTCGACTCATCGGAAATGACGGTGGCTGATTTCAAGACCTTTGATACCTTAGGAGCCACCCTCAGTCTTTGCAAGTCGCACCAGGTAGAATGTACAGCTTTGTTCCCAGCCTGAAGGGCCTGAGTGTAATGACCATCGGGGCACCGGGTGGTCCCGTGTCCCTTCGAGCCAAAAAACGCGGCATCTTAGGAATGCACCAAAGGCAGCTTACGGGATCTCCACGCGTTTGAGCCCCAAGATCCGAAACATCCAACGTAGAAGCGTCCAGGCCTCCAACCTAATCATCCAGGCCACTGTCGATGGACCAAATCTGTTTGGACTTCCACTCCTCCCTTTTCCTAGACTCGCCTCCGCCTCGTCGTCATCCTCTTCTGGCAGAGGATCATTGGGTCCCAGCCTGCCACAAACGTGGAGCTTGGCCTCGACCTCCCAAAATGGTTGCTTCTTCAGGCCCAGACCCAAGCTGGATTCGGCGGATTCTATCTCTAGCTGCCTTGAACCTCAGGTCATCCACCGCTCAAAAAGGAGATAGGTGGCTGAAGCTCACAGGCGCAACGTGCAAGGAATGAGGGTGGGGCTGGATCGTAGGATATCTATGGTTTCGGGGTTAGCCACCCTCATTCCCGACTAAGCACCAATCTGGAAAAGCGGAATTAAGCTCAAAGCTCATCACCCTCAATGGTTGAGGCATATCTAATCATGGCGGACGGCGCTCTCGCCTCAGCCGTGGCCGGTGCCCCCACCCTGAAGCCTTGCATTCCGCCTGGAGGTCAGCCGCTCCCTTCCCTGAGATCTATATATATAAGATAAGTGCACTTTCATGTTCCTCACAGTGCCCCCGTGCTCCCAACCCGGAAGGACCGAGGGTTCATCCACACACAGGTCTCAACCCTCTTCTTTCCTGAGAGCCGCACCGCGACCCCTCCAGCAAAGCTGAGGCATCGCCTGCAAAGAGCAAGCAATGACAAGGGTTTGCTCGTGTGAAACTTGGACCCGGTTGCGCAGGTTTCGGACAGGGAACGCCTGTGGCACGGCTACACAGGCAACTCATACATATATATATATATACCATCTCCTAGCCTATAAATGTCTCATTTTGGAGTGAATTTAATGACAGCAGTGTAATCCATCCAAACTGACACATTCTCCAAGACACACAAGTGCAATGGCAAGTTAAAGGTCGAATGTCTGTTTTTGTCCAGTCTTTCAAAAAACCTCTTGCCTGCAGAATCCCAGCGACAGCAACGCCGCAGCCACCTGTCAGTGCAGGAGGAAGCTTCAAGCTGACATGTGGTTGACATGAAGGTACCTTCTAAGCCAAGGCACCGGGAGAAGGACTGCCAAAGGCACACTCAAAAGGCGCCTTTGCCTCGGACAGGAATTTGGGCGGGTCGATGTGTGTGTGTGTGTGTCAGATCTAAGAGCTTGAAGCAAAAGACATTAATATGCATCTACGAGTAATTCATGGGGGTCCTCTTCAAATCAAGATCATTTTGATAGATTTCACCGCTCACATTAAACCCTGACGTTTTAAGCACCAATTTTTGCATCAGAACAGGACCGATTTCGAGTTCCCGCGCCTTCGGGCCGCGAGGCGCCGCGGGCTCATGGCCGAAGGGCCCGTGCCGGCAATTACCCAAGCCAAGAAGCTATGTGGCGCGGAGTCGTGAGTCATTTCTCGTCTTCATGTCTTGCCTTCCAACAGACATGCCAATAGACCATCAGCAGAAACCTCCAAGAAGATCCCAACAAGCAGGCGAAAGTCGGCAAAAGGGCTATTTCAAGATGTGTTCGCACGGGTGCGGGCTCTGCTGCTCGGAAGCCCGCGGAGCTTCGCAGCTACCCGGCACTCCGTGATGCTTCGTTGAGGAAGAAAGACTCGACAAACGCTAGCCGAATCGTAGCAGTCCAACCACTTCGCTCCTTTGCATGGCCACACCTGTCCTTTTCGCACGCTCTCCGGTTGGCGAACTCACCAATCACCACCATTTGGCGATGTTGGCTGGTGGCGTAAAATCCGGACTCGCGAGCAAGAGTTGCAGTGGCTTGCATTGTTTTTTGACGTACAGTAAAATCCTACACTTTGCCTGACAATCATGTCAAATATTCGGCTGACCAGAGAAAGGAATCGCAGATTCGCGCAAATCCTGGACTTGTCCAAAGCTATCAATAAGTTCTGGATTGCAGACAGCACCGCTATCAGGAAGCTTCCGCAATGAAGATCTCACTAAGACCAAGCCCCCAGCAATCAATCCCTGCGAAAACGGTCTTCAGCCTAATTACGGTCGGATGTTCAGCCCATCCTACGGTCCGACCAGAAGCTTGGTCTCCATTTCGAAGCTGTTGACCAAGCGCAAGTGTCCAACAGGCCTACAGCTGCAGTCTCAGCTTCGTCAGTGAGAGGCCAACAAATGGCATAGGTCATGCGCACTCCAATTACTGTAGCCTTGTCGATGGAAGGCTCAACAGCGACTGTAGCAGCTTTTTCAGGCCTCCCTGACTCCCAAGGAAGAAAGGTAGACTATGGGGGACAACAAGCAAATCTCAGCCCATTGAGGCGCATGTTTCTTTAATCTCAGCTATTACCACCTTGCCTAGCCTTCGATTTCAAGCCATCAGTCGTGCCGTGCGTCCTTCACACCAACGTGAAAGAGTACATTCCACCTCAAGGTGGTCGTTCAGCGACTCAAAATGGTCTGTCTTTGACCGATCGAGTGGGTGTTCGGAGACAACTTAGATTTAAGATTGAATATATGTATTTCTTGTTTCTAATAGCTTCTTGTTACTAGTAGTATGGCCATGAGCCCCTAGTAGCTTCTTGCTCCTAGTAGTAAGGCCAGGAGCCCTAGTAGCTTCCTTAATGATTCAACAGGCTGAGCTCCCAAAAGAAGAAACGTGCTTTCACGTTGACCAACTCATCACGTTGACCGACTGATTGCGTCCATCACGGCAAAATCGGTGGGATCCGTGTTCTTTCTGAGTCGCCACATGCGCTTTCCGACAGCCGAGCTACACCACAGCTTCTGAAGAAAGACCATCAATAAACAATGCGCCAAGCTTGGTGGTCAGAGTCAAACCCTCCATCACTTCAGAAGTTTAAAATCTGGAAATACATTGAGCAATTGAGCGGCAGGGGTTGGAAGCAAGCCCTCTTTTACAAGTACAAGCTGCTAATTTTCAAGCATGGTCAAAACTCAAGACTCATTGGCCAACCTGAAGCTTGCAAGTGCTGTTTCTGATCTTCTGATGAGCCCTTCCTTGGCCAACCCCAGCTGTTTCTACACCTGGTACAGATCAGGTCACGGCATCACCCTTACACCTTGTCGCCCCTGGCAATGTGACCAGAGTCCACAAAGCTGCCAAGCTTGGGCAACACATAGCTGGGCCTGCCACAGCTTTCTAGGCATGAATCACACTGGATGAGGTGTGAGAATCAAAAGCAAAGGCCAAGATGAGTACGTCATGCACGTTCTGTCTCCCAAAACGAACCGGTCTCCATGCAAGGGCAAGAACCCCTCGAAAAACCATCTTGCCACACCTCCGCAGACCGGGGCCATTGGCTCGCAGCTCTTCATCAAGCTCCAGTTGGCTCGTCACGCCCGTGAGCACCAAAAGGGTGTTCATCCCTGGTACGAACCGAGCTGGGCACGAATTTTACAGAACGAACAGCATGACAAACATCTGACATCGACCCCATCCAAAAGCTTGGTGCGGCCATGCGAAAGCTTGGAACCCGTCTGAAGAGAAGACCCGCGCACAAAACATGAAGAAAAACCCTCCAACCTAATGGCGCCAACCTCGTAGTGATGGCCTCCAACCTAATAGCGATGGCCTCCAACCTACTAGCAAAATTGCAGACTTCCAGAAACCCCACAGATTGGATGCTGATAGGAATCCTCCTCTGTTTCCAAAGACGATGTCAGTCTGCAAAGTGTCGCCTACCTGAGCGAACCATTCTCTGTCGGGCGAGGAGGCCGAGGTCGATCGTGTCGTGCAGGGGTGTCGTGCTCGGACACGAATGATCACTAAATGTACGAATTGCAATGTGCCTGGTGTTCGCCCTGAGTCACAAAATCATGGAACCTTGGCATGCTTTGGCTGACCTATGGAACCTTGGCAAGAAAGTATGATCCTTGGCACTGAGACACCATCAATGCCTTGTTCAGATCCACGTTGTAGGCGTGAGGGCTTCGCAGGAGCAAAAGCAAGGCATCCTCGGGGCTGAAAGACTTGGACACCGAACGACCGACCGCTTCACCCATTGGACACCGGCCGCTATGGCAAAGGAAGCAGCTGGAATCAAGCATGTGAAACCTAATCAATTCCAATCAATCCTAATTCCCAATAAAAAACCCTCTGGACCCCCCCCAAGTCAGTCAGTATACAAGATTCTCCGTGGGATTCCATCGCACAAACACCTTTGAACCATGGCACGAACGCTTATGGCAAAATCGTGAAAGATTGAAACCCGTGAAAGCGAGCCCTGTTCATTCAGAAATCTCCTTCTGCTGGATGCTGATCCGGAATTTCTTCCAACAACACGGGTCACAAAATGTCAAGAGCAATCGACCGGAACCCCCCACCCGGCCCCACCGGCTCCGATCATGTCAGGCATCTGAGGGCTTCCCCATGTCCACCCAGACCTTCGGAGGGTCAAAGCTGCGAGCGATGATGTCCGCCATCGCACCATTGCCTCAGGTATCCAGGTCGGTCACTGGCCGCTGGTCATCTCTCATCTATTTTTGGTACCTCAACAGGGAAGAACCAAATGACACCATTAACCAGCTGGCCCTGTGAAATCCAGACCTGTGCTTTGTGCAGAGCCAACTCAACCAGACTCGGTTTGTTTATGTCTCGGGATAAAGAACCGCAAGAATTCTGGAGGCGGGCAAGGACACAGTAATGAAAATTCGGACATCTATCTCCAGTTGTGTCATTTTTATCTCTTGTGTCAAAAGGCTTCCGTCCTGCCCAAGCCACCAATCGCACGGAGCTTCAACTCTTTGCCAAGGTGTGTGGTCTTCCCAAGCACGCCACCGGTGTCACCGGAGCAAGCGATCAAGGGCATCTCCTGCAACGAAGGTGAAAAAAGAACAGTGCGGCTCTCACCACTCAAGCAGAACTCAATTCCAGCAACGGGGATGCATGGTTTTGGAGGGCTAGCCGAGCTTTGCTCCTTGTATCCTGGCTCGCTCGCGTGCAAATCTTCATGCCATTTGATGTAGTTCACAGCTGTGCCCTGAGATTCCAAGGGAGTGGTTGGTGATTCATACTTCTGGCGCAAATCTTTTGCATATATATATATAACGCCCCATCATACCTGT